CGGACCGGTCAATGTTTGAGAACTTTACCGCGGTCCACTGAGGGGGGGACATTGATTGTTCATATTTTAGATTGATTTAATTTAATAATTTTAATTTTACTGTATTTAAACATGCCTTCAACATAAAATACAGTTACACCAAAAAAGGAATATAATGTGATTTAACATTTTAACTCACTAGAACGCTAAATTGATGAGAACCCTGAGCTTGTTTCTTTGCAACAAGACAGTTCCATCTGGGGTAATAGGAGACAATGACACCCGAAGTGTGTTTCTTATGTCCAGTTTATTCCGTTGTTCTGTTGTCTATTAAAAGTCGCACAAACTCGAGACAAATACACCATAGTAAATAAAATGGAAATAATTTAATGTTCCTTGGGCGGCCCGGTACCATTTGATCCACGGACTGGTACCGGTCTGCGGCCCGGGAGGGTTGGGGACCACTGGTCTACAAGAAACAAACGTATTTTTATTGTCTGATAACAATAAAACATTTTGTCTTAGAAATTGTGTTATAAAATTTACTTTTGTATTTTATTTAAGCATAATATTTTAATAATTACATACATTTCTCTAATAATTTACTTATTGAAGTTTAATTGTTTTTATATAAATTAATTTGAATACTAGGATATTAATAGATGATGTATAGAATGACATCATATATAAGAATAAAAGTACAATGTTATGCAATGTGGGATGATTGTTACTGTGATTGATGTTGGAAAGCCCAAAAATTGGTGTAAACTCTGTCATAGATTGTATCTTTGTAAGTAATTTGATTTAGCATTTTAAATCTTTGTTAAAAAATTTTAACTGTATATTACAAAATAATTTTATTGTTTATAGAGTGAAGAGGGATTGGTGAAAACTCTGATCCAAAATGCATTTAAATAAAATATCTGTAAATTAATTCATCTTTTGAATAATTCTTGAACTTGGGTGAACATCAGATTCGAAGAACAACTTTTTTTATTCATCCAAAAATCTCCCTTTTAAGTGGTTATAAAAGTAAAGTTTTATATAATTTTAATATTTTCTTAACTGTGGTCCCTAAAGTTTGCTCTGGCTTCACAAAAGTTGATTCCTGGCTTGTGGTTCCCTTAAAATGTTCTGTGGTCCCCAACTAAGAAACACTGTTCTAGAGCAGTGTTTTCCAACCACCAGCCCTCAAAATAACATTTCACTGTACTGACGTTGGTGAATTTGATTATGATTCAGAAAAAACACTCCGTTGAGAAACACTGCTCTAAAGCAGTGTTTCTCAACAGACTAGTTTTATTTCCCAGCCATTATGCATATATAACAAGGGAACATATTGGATCGTATCAAATTTGACCCTCCTAGTTTTTTGCAAATCTCTGTGGTTTGAGACTTCCTAAATCCAAAAAAGTTGAAAAAATAACAACAAACTTCCATGGATTTTGTGTGTTGGCAACTATTTTGTGTAATATCTCACGACAGAGTAAAGATTAAGAAATAAACTTTGGCATAGTAGCTTGTATATGAGGGAAATTGATGCTATTAAACATGTAGGTTACAGAATTTATTTAAGGTGACATAAATTTTATTTAGTTCTTTCATGATGATTTTGTCCAAAAGAGATGGGTAGCCATCAACCAAATTGGTAATGAATAATCAACCAGAGACTACAAATTAGTGAAGAAAATAGAACACAAACAATTTTAGAGGATATCATAGTAATGAAAGTATAATTGAAAGTAATAAAACAACATGTTTTTGAAAGATTTTCTGAGTTTTTAAATAATTTTATTAACATAATAAATAAAATTATGAAATTTTAAGTAAAATCTCATTGTACCCAGTAATAAACCATTTGTGTACCAGTAATGGTCTGTAGAGCACAGTTTAAGTATCACTGCTCCAGCAGTAACTTGTTCATAAAATACTTGCAGTCTAGAATATTTTATATACTGTATTGTTCGATATTGTATAAATTTCAATTCTTTCTGAATTATTCCATCTGTCTCTATTATTAATCAGTAATTTTTGCAGAAAAGGACCAACATTTTATTAGCATAACATTTAATATCTTACATCTTAGACTAATAAGATACAGGATAAATGATTTACTATAGATCAATGGTCATTTTGCATTACATGAACAGTTAGAATAAAAAAGGTCTTTCACTTTAATCAACAGAAATTGAAATTTTGATTCCAATAATCACTTTCCCATACTTTTCTTTTTTTGAACAAAATTTAGCTTTAATTTGAGTCCATGCTGTAGATGAGTATAAGAATATTTCACTTATTTAAGATAGAATAACCTCATTAACATAAGATGTAAACTGAAAGAAACCTGCTAAATATGAATATAGTAAAAACTTTAGTTTCATTTATAAAGAAAATACAATTTTATTTCCAATTATTTCTATTTTCAAATGTTAATGCAAAGTTTACTGTGTTCATTTCTTCCAATAAAAACTAAATATACTGTGAAACGTCAATATACTACTATCCTTTTAAAATACCAATGAATACCTGTTAATGCATCTTCCCCATAAATGGTTGCAAACCATTCACTAACTATGACTCACTAAATGCACAATTTTGCATTGCAAATAATATCGTATTATGAGATTTTCAAAAACTCAAAACTTTTGTGCAGACCTCATTACTACATATAGTTATTATTGTTTGAGAATCTAAAATTTAACCTTGTGCTCAGTTTAATGCCAGATTCAATGGCAAACAAATTAGGTTTAAGTATATATCTAAAGATAAAATATTTTGTTGTTATATACAATGAATTTTGGAATGGTATATGAAAAGAATTTCTTTTATGTTTCATCCAAACATATTAAAAAATCATTTAGGTAACAAAACCAATATAAAGAAATCAAACCAAACCAACATGATTGTTTTGATTTGGTTTGGTTGAGTATGGCAGTGTAACACATGGGTAATCTGCCAAGGAAAGATGCCTCTTGGGAGAATTATCTATAGGAAATTGGCCCCTATTTAGGTGACTAATACCATAGAAAACTGTGTGCACAGCCTTATTGTCAGTTGCAAACTCACCATCCACTACCAGTGTTCAGTGATTTTATCTACTCGGTTACTGTAGACTGAGGTTTCAGAAATTTAAAGGATTAATAGTTACTCTGAAGAAAAATTAATTCTATTAAACTGTTATTATGCTATGCTAGTATTTTTTTTCTTTTTTTACAAAACTGTTAAATTAATTACTATACTGATAATGAATAAAACTGGTCATTGTTGTATGGTTATACATGACATTGTAAATAAAATTAATAAATTAAATTATTTGCAAAAAAAATTTACAAACAGAAATAATTTTTTTACTTATAACAACCAAAAACAATAAATTTATAATGACAATTAGAATAGCAATGCTGTGAATTTTTGATTTAATAGCACTTGAACAAAGTATTAATTAACTAATTTGTATGCTAACAGAGTGCTGAGTTGTAAACATTAATAACTAAACTAACTTGTAAGAGTTATTGCTTTTATTTTTGATTATCTGCTTTGATGTTTCACTTCTGGACTAACATTAATTGGAATAGCCAACAATTCTTAAATTGATCAGTCATTCCAATTACTGTTTGAAACTTTAAAATAGAAACAGATAAGTTATCTCACATAATAAGCAAACAAATCACATACAAGGAAATAAATATAAAAACTTGCTGTTTGCATTCTAATAATGATTCAAACAATTTTATAAAATTAACATTTTCATGTACTGTACTTATTAAAATGTTAAGTTATATAATCATTGAATGCTACAATTATCCATTCCATTCTATGATATTTTCTATTCAGTGTTAAAACTTAACATATAACACTAAATACAGAAACTTTGTCATGTTTTTCTACATAATGTAGCTTCCACCAATCTTATTCTAATCATTCCCTCATGTTTCTTTCCATTTCTTCCTCGATTTTCCTTTCTAGTTTTACCTCGAACAACCATCTTTAGTAGTTGCTCACAAAAACCTTCTAGTTACAGTTATATTTAACTATTATTTTAATATCTTACCACATACTAAGTGGATTGAGAGATATCAAACTAAATATATACGGACTTTCAATTTTTTATATTAAGCATTTGTAAATTCAACATCTTAAAATTTTATTCAAACATTTATAGCATTTGTAATATAATAAATTTTAGACCTAGAAATACAATTCCAATTGAAAATGCTGTTAGAAAATAATTTTATGTAATGAAATTTTTGTTAAATTTCTGTATTTAAATTTTAAATAAAATCTTGTAACCCGAGAAGTAAAACTGTTTTCATATGAAAATTTCACATAGAAATTTGAGTAATTTAAATAATATAACTGCATTTAATGTGACGAAACAACTTTCATTCATATAGAGATAAAACAAATAACGATAAACTTTAAAATACATTTTTTAATTGTTGTTATACAATACACTGCAAGGAAACACAGGAATAAATTCATAAAACATCCTGAAATTATTTTTGTAAAACTTTCCCCCCTCTTAACATATTTTTTCAATAAAGAACTGTCTTATATATTATTATGTACCGTTTCATAATATATTTATAAATGTTCAGTATTTATATCGAGAGCTTAATACATATATATATATGAATTAAAACGCCAAAAACAAATGAAAGCGAAACTAAGAGTTAATATAAATGTTATACCTGACAGTAATGATTACTGTCAAAATACCGAATCATTTCCTGATAGAAAACTATAAACATGCTAACTAATGCAATCAACCATAACCTGTTTATGACATCATCGTAAGAAAACTCATTGAAACTGAAAGTTACATGAAAAAGTCACAAATCATATTTTATCTCCCGCTGTTACGTCATAACATTTGTTAGGTTCGATATGAATATACACGGTTTACGGATGGGAAAATATAACACTCGTATCGATTTACGTTTATTATACACGACAACTTCTGCAAAAGCATAAAAATCTATAAACGGAACGTAAGCCGATTATATTAATAAAATGATTACCTTTTAACCAATCTCCAACATGTTTGGGCGTCCATTCTGCGATGTTGATATACGCCATGTTTAAGGTCTGCTCCCGAAGAGATGACGCAGTGTTGCCAGATGGGTGCCGAATTTACTATAATTTTTTCTTTTTATCTTCCTTTAAAACGAGATATAACAGATTTGTATTAAACATTGTGTGATTACTCATCGAAATTCAATGATTTATCAAAAATGTACTTTGATATGTTGATTAATTTGGATAAAAAAACCTTTGTATTCTAAGCAGGAAAATATATATTTAATTAAACAATTACACATGTTTTCATCCAGTTAGATTTTCAATTTATTAATAATTAAGTGAATAAATATAAAACACTTTCTTATTAAAAAAAAAAAATGAAAATTTGATCTTAATTTTGTAATCCCAGTGAAACTTTTTCACATATCTATTTGCATCTTAACAAGTAATTAATTTGTTTATTATACATTAGAAAGTAAAGTTAGATAACTCTTGATTGTGATTGATGCATTATTTGTTTTATAAAATAATATTTGAAATAAAAAGGAATTTGTATGTAAAGACGTGGAAAAAAATTAAAATGAATGATGTAAACAAGTCACTTAAGTTAGAATTTGATTAATGATAATGGGTAGAAAAAATAGGAACGGATCAAGTTCAACTCAGATTCTAATTCAGTGTACCGTAACAATAAAAAGATTTCAGTTTAACACTATTTAACATGTTATGCAATATGCATCTTTTACATAAATACACAACATCCAGTTATAATGGACTACTGAATGTAAACTCTATAATTATGAGTCACCCCAAAAATAATTTAATAATTAAAATGAAAATAAATGTTAATCATTGGCATTATAATAAACATGTTTATTTGACATTTTTAAATAAATGTTAATATTTACAAATCTTAAGATTAATATATAAACTTTTTATTTACAGTATTATAATATGAGAATATACAATATAACAAGGCTGGGAATAGTTTATAAAAATGATTTTATGAATATATTTGACGTAAATGGAACAGTTTACAGTAATAAAATTATATACATACAATGTAATATAATATACCAATGACAATATATTATTCGTCATACTATTTATAGATTTATAAACACGTTTAAGCTATAAACAATTTTTATACATCTGCGTAGCAATAATTCGAGCTCCAATAAAGTTTTAAACTTTTAAAATTTAATAAATCATCTTAATTATTAAAATACTGGCTGGAAAAAAATTTTAAAAATGATTTCATATTTTAAGATAAAGTTTGAAAGTATTTACGCTTACAACTTAAGTAATTAATTAAGATTGTATGACACTTTTTATTTATATGCATGATTAGCAGCTATTAAATTACAATGAAATGCAATGAATGGTTATTAAATGTAATAAATTTTCCAAAAATTTAATACAAAACATCTACAAAAAATGTATTTATATACAACATAAACCGTACTTTTTACAAATTCTTCTGAAATTTTTCGAAATATATATACATGNAAAAAAACAAGAATCGGTTTGTTGAAATGTTACATGTGGGCATCCTTCCAAACTTTTTTTTTCTTTGAAATACCACTTTGTAATATCATACCGTATTTATTTACATCGTTAACAATGGTCGTTTCTACACAATTAATTTTATTTAAAATTTATTGAAATAAATTTTAATGATAAAACTATAATATTATTAAAGTCTTTATCTAAACTTTTAAAATATATATTTATTCTGATAAGTGATAAATAATTAAATATAGTAATGAGTTAAAGTATTCTTAGATTTTAAATTTATTAATAATTAAGTGAATAAATATAAAACACTTTCTTATTAAAAAAAAAAAATGAAAATTTGATCTTAATTTTGTAATCCCAGTGAAACTTTTTCACATATCTATTTGCATCTTAACAAGTAATTAATTTGTTTATTATACATTAGAAAGTAAAGTTAGATAACTCTTGATTGTGATTGATGCATTATTTGTTTTATAAAATAATATTTGAAATAAAAAGGAATTTGTATGTAAAGACGTGGAAAAAAATTAAAATGAATGATGTAAACAAGTCACTTAAGTTAGAATTTGATTAATGATAATGGGTAGAAAAAATAGGAACGGATCAAGTTCAACTCAGATTCTAATTCAGTGTACCGTAACAATAAAAAGATTTCAGTTTAACACTATTTAACATGTTATGCAATATGCATCTTTTACATAAATACACAACATCCAGTTATAATGGACTACTGAATGTAAACTCTATAATTATGAGTCACCCCAAAAATAATTTAATAATTAAAATGAAAATAAATGTTAATCATTGGCATTATAATAAACATGTTTATTTGACATTTTTAAATAAATGTTAATATTTACAAATCTTAAGATTAATATATAAACTTTTTATTTACAGTATTATAATATGAGAATATACAATATAACAAGGCTGGGAATAGTTTATAAAAATGATTTTATGAATATATTTGACGTAAATGGAACAGTTTACAGTAATAAAATTATATACATACAATGTAATATAATATACCAATGACAATATATTATTCGTCATACTATTTATAGATTTATAAACACGTTTAAGCTATAAACAATTTTTATACATCTGCGTAGCAATAATTCGAGCTCCAATAAAGTTTTAAACTTTTAAAATTTAATAAATCATCTTAATTATTAAAATACTGGCTGGTAAAAAATTTTAAAAATGATTTCATATTTTAAGATAAAGTTTGAAAGTATTTACGCTTACAACTTAAGTAATTAATTAAGATTGTATGACACTTTTTATTTATATGCATGATTAGCAGCTATTAAATTACAATGAAATGCAATGAATGGTTATTAAATGTAATAAATTTTCCAAAAATTTAATACAAAACATCTACAAAAAATGTATTTATATACAACATAAACCGTACTTTTTACAAATTCTTCTGAAATTTTTCGAAATATATATACATGATGAACCAATATACATTATAAGATTACGGTATATAAACAGAATATAAGAAAGATATTATAATAATTACATTACATTATATTTATTATCAAGTGCTCCATTCCAAAATGAGTAGGCCTACTATACTGAAATACAAGAAAACAAGTAAATACAAAAGAAAACGAAACGTATATTTTGCTTTGAAAGAAAAAAACTAAATGAAGAAGGGTTTAGAAATTAAAACTTATAAAAAGTTTCTTCCATATTGTTTTAGTATAATTGTGGTAACGTTCAAACAGTAACTTCAAAAGAGTTTATCACGCTACAAATCCATATAAAAGAAAAACAAAAACAAAAAAAAAACAAAGAAAAATTTAAATAAAAGTTCCTATAAGAAAATAATTGGCTCAATTAGGAACCAAATATATTTTCTTCTAAAAACTACAAACCAGCTCTCAAATGAGGATTGACGTAATTTTTCTTTTCTTTCCTTTATCTGGAGCTATGTTTCTTTATGTGATCCAACGGGACCACATAATTATAAACATAAAACTTTGTTATTTTGAAGTTATTTGATGATGTAAACAAATCATTCACTCACTTTTCACATGAAAAATATTTGAAATTAAATATGAGGATTTTACTCTTTTCTAACAAAGAAAAATATTGTATATTGTGTTATAAATAAGCACGTATATATCATAAATATGATTCGTCATTAGTAAGATTAATTCAGAATTAATTTAGCCTTCGAAATTTTCAAACACGTAATATCAGAAGCGATATTCGATCGAGTTGTTTGGCTATAAATCCGCAATACACTATTCTACAATTAAGAAAGAAATCATTCTTCTCTAAAGTTTTAATGGTTTTCTAGTATTGACATAAATCGTGTATGTAGTGTTGCTTTCGAAATTCATACATAGAGAGTTCAAGATATTTAAAATCCAAAAATTCTACTAAGAATATTGAATTAACACCGGATTGTAATAAGGTCATTGGATGTTGTTTAATTCTATATGCCAGTTTTTTTATTAATAAAAGATAAAATTACAAACATCCTTTAGAACTTTTGAATAGTTTCAGAATAAGAATTTCTTTGTAATGGAACATTTCGAACTGGAAAAAGGTCAATAAAATTATAAAACAATTTTTTCGACACTAATGACGATAAAAACAGTTTTAAAATGAAAAAAATTTATTTTCTAAATTCTCAAAAAAAAAAAAAAAAAAAAAAAAAAAAAAAAAAAAAAAAAAAAAAAAAAAAAAAAAAAAAAAAAAAAAAAAAAAAAAAAAAAAAAAAAAAAAAAAAAAAAAAAAAAAAAAAAAAAAAAAAAAAAAAAAAAAAAAAAAAAAAAAAAAAAAAAAAAAAAAAAAAAAAAAAAAAAAAAAAAAAAAAAAAAAAAAAAAAAAAAAAAAAAAAAAAAAAAAAAAAAAAAAAAAAAAAAAAAAAAAAAAAAAAAAAAAAAAAAAAAAAAAAAAAAAAAAAAAAAAAAAAAAAAAAAAAAAAAAAAAAAAAAAAAAAAAAAAAAAAAAAAAAAAAAAAAAAAAAAAAAAAAAAAAAAAAAAAAAAAAAAAAAAAAAAAAAAAAAAAAAAAAAAAAAAAAAAAAAAAAAAAAAAAAAAAAAAAAAAAAAAAAAAAAAAAAAAAAAAAAAAAAAAAAAAAAAAAAANTCAAAAAAAAAAAAAAAAAAATATCAAGCAACCGGTTGCTTAAGTTTCCCGACTATCTTTGATGGCGCCATCTGTTATCATATTTTATTTTAAAAACTTTTTATATTTTTAATTATTATAAAATGGCAAAAAGCTTCATTTTGACAGTAGGGATGGGTTTTGTAAAAAATTATAAATGCTAATAACGTGTAAAATCGTCATTAAGTCTGACCCTACTGGAGATACTCACGATCCCCTTTATCTTTACTCACCAAAATTTAATAACATCAATCCCATTAATAAACATACTTCCCTGCAAAAATTCAGAAATTTTTTGACAAAAAGCACAGGAAGTATTAAGCTTCAAAGAGGGTGAACAAAATCGTGCCCCTCACACAGCCTAACGTCCATACATACAGAAAAATTCTTCAAATTTTTTTTGCATTTCTCGACGTTTCAAGGCCCCCTAAGAACAAATATACAAAAATTTTTTGGGAGTAATACAAATGCAAAAATTTTATACAAAATATATTATGTACTGTTATTAGATAATGGTAATATAGGTCGTACTTTCAATCTACTTTCTGATCATGCTATATTATATTTTATATTACATTATATGCTATATTCTGATCATGCTATATACTATATACTATATATAGTTATCCATTAAAATTAGGAAATGTTCTTGAGAGAGTAACCCAACGCAAATGAATTTATTTTTGAAAATCTTACAATATAATATATATTTTGTTTATTATTGGTAAATAGCTTTTATTTCAATAATGTATATAGATTTACTTATTGCTAAATGAAATAACCTACTTTACAGGTTACTATTTCTTTTGTTTATTATTTACTATCCACATATTTAATTCTA